ATCATAATAACACACAATCATAATAACACACGATCATAATAACACACCATCATAATAACACACCATCACAATAACACACAAGTATAAAATTACCAGTAATAAAGCAATTTGACCCAAAAGGAATCTCGTCTCTCTCCTTGGGAAGGCATACTGTTTTCACGAAAGGCGTTTTCTTAGCATTGCGTGATAGATGAAGTAACGCAACATCATTGTTATACGGCCAATCCACTCCATACAAAGGATGCTTGATTATCCGTTTAATCTTGAATGTTTGCTCTGACTTTTCGTGTTTGGTGCGATCTACGTCACCCAGCGTCACACGGTACTTGGATACATCGTCGTCGATAATACAGTGACCAGCGGTTAGTACCCATTCAGGTGTTATGAGAGACCCCCCGCAAGTGAATCCGATACCCGTGATGTTAGTCCAGGCCTGCCATGGCCACTCCCCAAGGGAAGCATCTTCGCCAGAGACAACTCGAGAGGCGGCGACCTCTGTAGTGCCGCATCTTTCTGTAAAAAGGAAAAGAATCTGAAAAGTCTTAACTTCATGCGAACCCTGCCTTTTCTAAAGGCAACTCTCAGTACTGATGTAAAGATCATTAATAATCTATCATACAATCGCTGTTGAAACATGTAACGTCATGAACAAAAAAAAAGTTTAAAAAATAATAATAATTCAAGAGGCGACCACATGTATTCCATCCAGACATCGCTGATTTGTGTAAAATGTACCTCCTTACCTTGGGTTTAATCTTTTCTCATTTCAGACCATGTGTCATTCCCTAGAGTATCATTCCTTTGCTTAACAATTCAGATCAGGAAACTTATTCTCAAGATAATGACACGTGGTCTGAAATAGGAAAACATTACGCTTACATTACGCTAAAGAGGTCAATTGTAAAGACGTACCCTCAATTTTGCTCAAGGGAACGACATGTTGTCTGGAATGGGAAAACATTAAACTAAAACAGGAAAAACTGGTAAAAAGGTGATTAATTATTTATTAGTGAGCGTTGATCCTTTAGCATCCGACCCGGAAGTAAATTTGTCTTGTTTATCATTAAAAAAATGACTCTGCTGTTTCCTCAAATGCTTCATCCACACACACACAAACACATTTAACTGCCAAAACTAATGCGAATTTTCAATCCTTCAAATTTTATCTGTAAAGGTTCTAGATTATCTCGAGGACTATAGTCAAGATGCGTGACGTTCAAGTTCTAGATTATCAGTTTATTCAGAGTTCAGTCAGTCAATGATTTCACAATTCCACGTTACAGGATTAATTTCACGAGTTCAAGTTTTCACGATTTCAGGTTCTCACGATTTCAGGTTTTCACGATTCGCTAGAATGACAATTGCAAAACCTT